CTACCAACTAACTGTTAACTGGGCCTGGGCTTGGCCGCCCCCAAGTGCATTCCAACATGCCATGCGAAAGTCAAAGCTAACTGCATGTTGCATGCCACTCCATGACAAACTGCTTGTACCATAGAATCGTTGCCATAAAATAATGGCTAATCATATTGCAGTTTTAAGCCGTTTTCGAGACGAGCTAACTGACATTTGCATGGGCTGAATGCAGATTTCGCCAAGGTGTTGGGCACTAATTGCTGGGACACAGTTTACCTTCGGAGCTGTGCTCAGTTATGAGCTCTTTGATTGGACCTGGCCTTTCAGCGATGACCCGGCGAACAATGGTTTCAATTAGGACAGAATTAATTGGAAACTGTGTTGGGGGAGATGTTAGCAAACGAGGCTGGAATGGATAAATAATAGGAATATTTTGTAGCATTACTTAGGCATATTTATGCACATATTAGAGCTAGATTAGTGGCCGTGAACGTCATGAAAAATGTATGCTAGTCGGGAGCAACTGGATCAGTTAGATTTAATTATAAAATATTTAAAGCTCCACAATAATTGCATATGTAAGGACTGGAATATTTTAAGATTTCAGTTGTCATCGTGGGAACCCAACAATCTCGTGAAACGGTTAACTCTGCCAACAGATGTTGGATTTTATTGTATCCTACAGATGTAACATAAGCTATTTTTCGCATATGTTGGCAATTTTACGAGTATTATTTGAATAAATATTATGCGCAGGCGCATCGCCTCGGATCGCATGAGAAAGCAAACACAAAATAGGAACAGTTGTGTGGGATGCGATCTGCGAAGCAACCCTCACGCAGCATACGGAATGCCGAATCCTGACAGCCACAACGCCCCTAAAGCAACTAGTTGAGATCCTTCCAGGATAATAACAGTTGGCCAGCTATACGTAGGGGGATCCTGACTGATTGTATCTAGCCTTCTAATGAATTACGGCACACTTTTCAATTAGTTGCATGTTTATACAATAATTTTGATGATTCTCGAGAACTCACGGAGATGGACACCCTCCGATAGACAAAGGTTGAGGTGGGATAGGGAGAAGAGTGAGTGCGTCCGTCAGCTGTTGAATTCCGAGCATTATTCGAATGAGTCTGCGCAGGGTGCTAACCATAATGGATCCACCCTGTGGTCATGTTTAATTGTTAAACCAGAAACGTTGTTGGCGGTAGGAGAATCTAAAGAGAAGTGCCTGCCATGCTGAGCCTGATGAAAGTGTATTGTACCTTTGACAATGAGCGCAGGTCAAACTAGAAGTTGTTAGAAGAGTATTTTGTCATAGAGTAATACCTCTACCTCTCAATAAAATGTATAAATAATGTAACTCTTAAAATTAAAAATAAAGAATCTATTTAAAGAAGTATACACATTTTCATTGCCTTTTCAAACCAAAAGAATCTGTTTTTATGACAAGTACTACTTACTCATAGAAATATACAAGAAAATTCCTCTAAGTTCTAAGCCCATTTAAGCGATATAAAAAAGCCACCTGAAGCTGGAAATAGCATGTACACTCTCAGTTAATCATGGAATTTAAATAAATTGGCGCCGCGCTTTGTCAAGGTGTCAAGGCAATCTGACAAATACGAGTATCTAAGAGCTGGACAACAAGTTTGCCTACGCATGCTGCACAATCCAGATTACAATTGGCAATTGGCAAATGCAATTTGAATGAGAATTGAGAAAAAAAACTTAAATTAAAAATATATCTGCAGCTGCGTCCGTTTTTGTCACACTTCTTCTGCTAAAGCCTAGTACTCTGACGAGAAAAATCCGCTGTATAAATTTAGACAGCGGCCAAACTCCATATAAAAAAAACGGTGTCGAAAAAAGAAGAAGAAGAACTTTTAGACACGTCGTTTTTTTCGGTACTCTGACTACGAAAATGAAGCCTGCGAAAATTGAATGGCGTTGCCAGATCAAGATAGTAAACAGCTGATATCGCGCTGTCTAAATAATTCATTTGATTTATTTAGACACCCCTCATGGAGGGAAAGTTGAAGGAAAAAGGTGGCATTGATAGGGGCTGTCAAGGGGAAGCCCATAATATGGAATTTAACCCACAAAGAACATTTTAATGCCATATTTATTAATATTTTATAATATTTTTTTAGAATATTTGTTTACAAACAGCTGTCCAGTGTAACCAAAGAAAAAAATAAAAATTAAACGCCACAAAAAGTACATTTTCATGGCATTTCAGGATTTTCCTTAATTTTTTTTTGGTCACACTAGCTCGGTAGCGAAATAAACAGCGATTCCGCTGTCTAATTTAGACAGCGGGTTTTTCTCGTCAGAGTACTAGGCTTAAACTTGCCATTGTGGAAAGAAAACGAGTGTTTTGTGCCGTTTTGGTTTTTTTTTAAATTAAATTGCAGCCTCTGGGGGACGATGACGACGACGACGATGCTGGCCCTCAAGTGCACACTTCCTGTCATTTACATTAACAAAGTATTTTTCTGCTAGTTTTTATTTATTTTCACAATGCACTTAATGGGTTCTCAAAAGCATGCGCCATTCTTCGATTCGTAACGGGGCCTCTGAACCTGAATCCGGATCGGATCGGGGTTGGAGTCTGGATCCGGAGATTGAGTCCCATTAGGGGACACTGCAAGTGCACTGTGAAAATGATTTCTTGGGGGATAAAAAGAGCTATTCATTTTATAAACAATATTTAAGTAATTTAAATTATGAACTATTTTTTAATTCTATAAAAATAGTAAGCTGCAGTTTCATAAAGATCAATTTCTGATGTATATTAATTTTTAGGCAACTCATTTTTCTTGCCGTGTAACAGCGGGCGCGACTGCGCGTGACGCATGTTCGGTGGTTCTACGGGGTTGCAACTCGAGTTGGGGTTGCTTTTAACCCGCAGCCTTTCCAGTTTCCATGGTTTATTTACCCCGCCAGCATTGTGCTCCTCGCTTGCGCCTGCCACACGCATTCTTGACCCAAAACCCAAGACCCAGGACACAAAGCCAGCTGCAGCTGCACCGGCACTGACACCAGCAACTCCTTGGCAAAGGATCAGGAGCTGTGGCGTGTCAAATGGCCAACCAGATGTTGCCATCCCACAACCTCACAAATCAAAACCAGGCGGTGAGCAAACAAATTGAAAATGAGAAAAATCATCCGCAGCTTATTGTCCTTTCACCGACATACCATATGTGCAGCTTCACAGTTGACTTGGGTGCAATTAGCAGGACTCGCACCCTCGCTCGATCCTGTCCAGCCGCTCAACTGCCACTGTTCAGCCATGCAAATGGGCTGAGTGGTCGGCCAAGCCTAGTTCCTCAAATGGGACCCAGGATATTTATGCTGTTTGTATCCCTTTTAGTTTGTGGGTAGCATTTGTCAACAATTTGATATTCGGTGTAACGCCTTTTCTTGGTGGTTGAACAAGTTTATTTAAGGAAAATTATTCAGCAGGAAAAGGATTTGGTTTTTAGCAAATAACTGTTGACATATTGTTTAGACAGTATTTTATTTTTTAAAGAATACTTTGACTTGTAACTCGCCCAAAGTGAGAGTAAGATGAAGTTTGAAACTTTATTGTTCAATAACTATAAATGTTTCTCACCAAATTTTACTTAAAAAAAAGTAAGAACAATGCGCTCCCTTGTATTGAACTCTAAATGTTCGAAAACCAAAAACATTGCAGTTTCCTTTTTACAGCTCATAAAGCCAGACTATACTGTGGGTACACTCCCTTATATCACACAATGCCAATGGCTTGCGTGATAAATTGCCATGTTTTGCGGCTCTTATTACCGGTCCTTCTGTTGCCATTTGGCATTGGCAAAAAGGATGCAGCTTTCTCGGGGCAAGGACAAACATAAAAAGCAAACGGCAAACCCAAAATAATTGCCAACGGATGGTGTCTGTGGCTATCCACCAACAGCTGCTGGAACACTCCTCGCCCAATATTAAAATCCACTTAGAGCGACGCGTGGCCGGCAATTAAAGTAAACACTGAGTATCCGTAAATCCTTTTAGCACTTTATTGGTTTGCAATATGAGATCCCACTCGAAACTATCCTTTCGTACGCAGCGAGGCTACCCCTGTTTACTCCTTTGGTGGCCCTTCCCCTTGTGTTTGGCCCAACTCCGCCCAGTTGCCATGGCAAATCCCTTGGCTTCTGTGTCTGCGCATGCGCGACGGAGAGTGGCAGCTGTGAGTAGGCAACACAAGCCGAGCCACCTCCAGGTCGCCGACTTTGTAATCCTGCGGAAGTTGATTTTATCACGTGTGTCCATTAGTTACCTTTTGGAAACCTGGAGCCGCCGGGCTGTTCAGAGGTTCAGAGGTCAGACCTGGTCTAGAAGGAAACTGAAACCATTCGACGGAATGGACAGGAAAATAATGTATCTAGTTTGTATTTTATTATGAACCCTTTTTGACTCAACAGCTGAGGGCTAAAAATATTTTTTTTTATTATATTTTTAACTTTTTATAGTGCCTAAAAATAAATAGGAACCAATACTCCTCTATTTAGAGTTCAACAAACTAAATACTTTAAATATTGTTTCCAATTAATCAACCCATCAAGCTAAACTGTTGGAAAATGCTTTCCATTCACTTTAGGAAAAGCTGAATGATCTCACAATAACTGGAGGCAAATATTTCAAAGTGCAGTGCACTCACAAATTCCGCTGACAGGGTTCCCATCAATAAGAATGTCTTTCGAGTGCGTCGAGTGTGTGTAACCCCGGAGGTTAGACCAAAAATGCCATCGGTCATTAATCTAATTTTTCTATTTATGGCGAGCGATTGATGGGCCAAGAACGGAGACGACCGGCGACTTGACAATTGGCGGCTAATTATGCAATGGCATCCCGAAAAGCCAACCAGGAATGGGAACTCGGGCCGCTCCGGCAGCTGGAATTAATTGGCCTGCCTGGCGCTGGCCCATAGATGCGAGTCTGGCGATAAGACCCGCTCCCGGGCAACGACGACGAGCAGTTGGCACCGCTGGAAAAGTCAGAATTAATGGGACGAGTCAAGAGGCGACAGTTTTGCCGGGGAAATCAAATTACACTTCAGTTCGGTGTGAATCTGTGAAATGGGGCAACCGATTAATAAGCTGCAATACTATCTCAGGGATGAGGTGGTGTCGCACAACCAGAAGGACGACTGCTGGGTGATCATTCACTCGAATGTCTTCAATCTGACGCCCATGCTAAGGGATCGCCTGGATAACTGGAACCGCGTAAGCTCACCTAGGATATCTATCTTGTGCATAAACTTCCTTTGGACGACTCCCTTAGAACCTGGACTACCTGATAGCACATGCCGGCAAGGATCTCACGCACTTCTTCCACGAAAATGGCGAGCCACGGACGGAGATCTCACCCAGCACCGGCCGGCCCAGAGTACTCTTTCCGCCCATTCTGGAAGTGGCCGTCTCCGAGTTTAGCGGCACCAAAGGGGCCATGTGGAGCCAGGATCCCTTCTATCACATCGGCAAGGTCACGAGGCGACCGCGGCTCATCAGGATAGTAAACGCACTCACCGCCCAGACGCAGTACATGACCGTGTGCGATGAGGATAGCATCTACGATATTCAGCAAAAGTACAAGCAGCGCTACAATCACCATGCCGGCAGCTACGAGTGGCGAAAGTTCTCAAATGGAGTGAGTTATATTATAAATAATTTTCTAATATAAACTGTAACTAACGATGCTGTTCCTTCACCAGGGCAAGGCTTGCAGTGTGCTGAACCTGAATGGCACCCTGGACGAGAATGGCCTGACGGACGACGAGGATAGCAACGTGGAGCTGCCCCCGCCCTCAATTTGGCTCTACTACACAGATGACCTGACCATCGCTTGACACTGTTGTTTCTTAAATGTTGTTGTAAATTATTTGTTCTAGCTGCAAGTATAGCTCATTTCAAGCTAGACTGCAGTTCGTTGATCGGGCTGTTTTCAGGTATTTTGAGCAAATTTCAACAAATGTCACGGTCGACAGAGGCCGGTAATAAGTCAAAAAATGTGCAGCGGACTTGCTCAGGGTCGCACCTCCAGGCTGAATGTGCGCCTTACTGCTGCTCCTGATCGCGGCTCTAATTTATGCGGGCCGGTGGAGCTGTGAACTCGTGTATGACGATCGGGGTGTCTGTATTTTTAACCATTTTTATCTTTCCTTTTTTCCATTTAAGTTTTGAGTTCTGTGAGTGGTGGTACAGCGCCTGCAGCTGCCCAGTTGGCACGCGTTGCTGGCCAGGGGGAGTGATCACTGAACTGTGAACTCCACTTCTTCCATCGAGCCTCTGGCAGTCGGAGTTATGGGGTCTTGGTTCTTGGAAGTATGAAAGTGCTCCTAGGAAGTGGAGACGCCCACTTGGCTGGGATCCCTCTCCGTCTCGCTCTCGGCCTGGGGGCCAGCTCCACTGGCTGGCGTTGTGCTATCTTGAGCGCATAAATAATTAATTTCAGACTCATTTTGCTTAATAATTTTTTAGTTGTTTAATTGCAAACCTGTTTGTGCTGCCAGAGCTTTGGGTACGCTTCGGTTGGGGCCAGGCCGGACCATAAATGGTCTGCGGCTGTGTTCTTAATTTACATTGCGACAAAAGGGGCTAAGAATCTGGCACATGAACAATGTTGTGAAATATTTTAGTCGCAGAGTATGTGGGATTTTTGACAAGCCGAGGGGTTTGGCACCAGAAGGTCGCCCCAACGAGTCTTTGTGCGTATCTTGATCTAAGAAATAGACAATCTAATTAACCTCCAAGAGTCACACATAACGAGGTGCTAATAGGAAGTAAAACAAAGACTTGGAGGAACATCAAAGCTCATCTACTTAATCTACTATGAACTTTCTACAAAAGAAGGGTTTCTAAATTATGTTTTCTAGAATGTGTTAGTATTGGTTTCTTAAACATTTTGATTCAATTTTAATGCATTGTATACTTTTTGTAACTAGTTCCTTTGTTTTATAAATGACTAGACTCTCCGCTGGCAAATATTTTGCATTAGGAGTTGCCATTTCCTAATTTTAAAATCTCCAGACAATCTAGCATCTCAAAATCCAAAAAACTATTAGCTAAAAGGAGGCAACCTCAAAGCAGGGACAGACCCAAATGAAATCCGCCAAAGCGAATCGATACCTAAGAACGTCTCGGCCAAGACATGCAGAATCTTGTGAAATTCTCCTACCTGTCGGGCAATCTCGGTGCCTGGCACCGCCATTGGGAGCGGATGACTCACCTGAGTCTGTGAACACGTTTGCGCCTGTCGTGGCCTGGGAAAAAGGAGCAATATCGATCATTGGGAACCTGCCGCCGCCGTCGCCGCCTGGGATCATTGTCAATGGCGGGCAAGGTGCGGAGGAGGAGCTGCCGCTGCGTAGATATAGATGCCTTCAAATCCGTTGCACTGCCTGGCTCTAGGGAATTGCGTTTATCGTTTGGCCAAACCAGTTTTGGCATTCCACTACGCTCCACTCGACGCCGTTTTGCTCCTCTCCCCTGCACGCCACTCACCCCCACTCGGGCGAGTTCGTTGCCTAAGTCTTTTGTTCAAAACGCCACAGAGTTCATTGCCTGTATATGTAGGTAAACAAACTGCATTGGTGTACATTAAGCCATATTCGTGGTCCCCGGTAGGTGATAGCCCGGGCCATGGGTGTGCTCAGAGTCGTTAATTAATGGCGAGAGAGAAGCTGGAATTTGCGATTTGCATAAGGCGGGAATGCAAGCTTCGTAAAATTAGATGAGTTTGTGTTAAGCGTTTATGAAATATTCCAAAATTAGATGTGACATTTACAAATAACGAGTGGGTCGTAAAGAAGAGATTGCTTGAGGGCCGGTTCTGGCTATGGTAGGAAAATGATCAAATAGGCTAGAGTTCAAATTATTGGTTTGTTCGAACATATTTATACTCTTGCAAGGCCTTATAATTTAACTCAAAAGCTTCGAATGCAGTGAAGGAGCCATTTCCGACCCTATAAATCATATATATTCTTGATCAGCATCAGCAGGCGAGTCTTTCTAGCCATGTGAGAAAGAAAACAATTTTTTTTTCATTTTTTCAAAATTTTATAAGGGGTTACATCGTCAAAATTGTCAAAAATTTGAAAAAATGTGATTTCTTAAAAACTTAAAATTAGTATGCAGATTTGTTAATCTAACAAAAACTAGCATAGAAAAGCTTTCCGAATTAAATTTAATGTTTTTTTGGCTTTATTATGATAGATTTTTGATTCCATGTTATGATCCTATAATCCATGATCCCAGTATCGAAATTTCGGCATCCCGAAATTAGTTTCTTTTCTTACAAATCATTACTTTTCGGTTAAACTTAGCCAATCATTTCATTAAACTAAATATAGCAGGAACAATTGGTTTCTCCCCGAAACAATGTAGACTGTTAACTTGGCTAGATCTCAGATCAGATCGCAACAGCCGCGACCTCGCTTGGAATGCCAATTACTCTAATGGAGTCTAACGGAGCCAGTGACATGTTGTCAGGGCCGGAACATAAATTGCTCCGCTCTGGCAGCATTCCTTGGGGCCAGATGGTGGCCGGATCCATCACGGGCAATTGGCAGCACCCACAGCAGCAGCAGCATCAGGTTGGTGAGACGTAACCCACTCTAGTGGCATCCCATCCACACCATGACCCATTCCCACAGCCTGAGTAGCGTTGCGTAGTGGATGGATTCGCCGAGCGGGTGAATCTGAATTCCATTCTGGTCGCATTCTTTCTCGCTCCTATTTCCCAAAGCCAGGCGGAAGTAAGAGCTCCAGTATGCGAGCATTCCTCTGCGTCGGCTGCTCCAAACACAATCTCCGCCAGCGATTCCCAGGCTAAGCGAGCTAATTTAGTGCTTAGCTCGACATAAACTGTTCGCCGTTCGGTGTTCCTGCTCGGCTCGTTAATTGCCCCAACAAACTTATGCAGATGAGCTTAGAAATAGAAAGCCGGGCGCAAGATAATTTGGCCTGAAGGTCAGCTCGCTGGTCTCACCACGCCCAAAAGGAAGTGCCTCCCACGCCATTCGCCGCCTCCAAATCTGGACAGCGTAGAACCGACATCCGTTATGGCTCAATTTCGTTTTCTTTCACTGTTTTCCGTTCTTCCGAGAGCCTGGCACTCCACCTGCTATTAAAAGCTGGTGATTTGCATTTGGCATACAAAGCGATGACCACTGCATTTGGCACTTGGCATTCCACACCCAACCAACGGCAGCAGCACATTAAATAATAAATTAACGAGGGGAAAAAGACAAATGCGACACCGAATAGCGGAACCAAATTAGGAAGTGCCCACACCACAGGCCTGGAGTCCCCAACTCCATATTCGGGGCTTCAGTGTGCGACAGGCACAACAGTGGATATATTGTCATTGGCATATTAATTATGATGGGAGAATGATTGATTTGGTGGCTTCTGGGCAGAGACACAAAGAGCTATATCTCTAAAAGACTCCTTAAATTCCGAGATAAATATATAATTATACTAATTGATCTGAATAATACCAATTACTTCGCATAGCTATCACTCCGCAGCTTCCGCTTAAATTTGTTTAAAAACTCTATATAAAAAGGGTTAAAGTCAAGTTCTTACTCCCTTCCTATCTATAGAATCTCTCTGCAGCCAAATTGATATGCCACTTTGGCACCTCTCTCGGGGACTGGTGATTTTTCATAAATTATTCAAAGCTTAACTGCTTCCGTTTTCGACGGGAGTGACTGTCTGTCTGCCTGTCTGTCAGGTCTTCGATAAGTGTCCATATGCCGATGTGACTGTGCCCCTGTCTGATATTCCATGGCAGATTGACGAGGTTCGGACTGGACACTGCACTTTCCTGTGGTTTTGATCGCGGCCCAGCTGTCTGTATAAGTGTCCATTGGCAATAACAATTCCAGAGGCAGATACAGTGAGTTTACTTTACATTTTATTGTATAATTTTCGGATGTGGTTGCCGCGGAATGGGAAAATCCAAAGTCTTGGCTTGCCGGCATAAATTAACGCGTGCAACTAAATGAAAATAAATAAATTTTGTATTTGCATTGAGGTTCTCGTTCCGCTCCAGTGCCTTGCAGGAATGTCCCATAACACGGGAATGGAGACAGAGTCGGAGCTGGAAATCCGGAGACAATAGGGCGGTTTTTAGTTCGCAGAGCCATGGAGCGAACATTCTATGCAAATCGAATGGCCGACAAGGGGTTAAGGTTCGGCCTCAATTTATGGTTATTAACACAATATTTGTTGTCGCTCCCGGGTTAATTAGCAGCCGAGCCCTCGCCTCCTTTCTGGGAACCGACGTCCATTAGTTCCCATGCAAATCGCCTGGCCAAAAATCAATTAAAGGCGCACGTGACGTTCAACTACCCACATCTGCATCTGCATCCTTTGCCGCCTGCTTGTCATTCCGGTTGTGTGTGTTTTTTTTAGTTGACCAAGCACTTCCTGTCCCAGGGGAGTTCCCCGAGCGACCGTTAGCTGGATCTATAAAATGTATCTAGCGAGAGAGCGTGGGATTCACTTCTCAGGCTTTAAGTTCTATTGATTTATGCCACTGCGGGCCATCCAATTGATTTTTAAAGTGGAATTGCGGATTATCAAGCTGTGATCTATTTTTTGGTGGTTGAAGTGGTTAGGGGTTTGCCAAATTGAATTGTTTAACCGGGCTTAAGCCCCGCGACTCACCCATTAAATTGGATTTGATTTATGCGAGACAAGTGCCTGGCTCAACACAGATCTTGTTGGAATTTATGGGTGTTTTCGGGAAGGGTTGCTGCTGTGGGAACCGAGGGTGGCAGGGATTATAAGGGTTCTTTTTTGGATAGTTGAAATATATCTTTGAGATTTTAAACCCGATCTAGTAAACTGACCACAGTCATTGCTTTCCATAAACGGAAGCCAAACATTGATGAGACAACAAGAAGTCTT